ATTTTCGAGTTTTTATTGACACTTGAAACAGCCTCCCACGGAGACTTGAAGGGATGGATAGGTCTCTTGACGAAACGATTCAGCATGGTGAAATCCACACAAATTCTCAATTTACCATTTTGTTTCTGAACAATAACTAGTGGACTGATGAAATCAGTGGGATCATTATCAATTGGCTTTATAATGCCTTTCTTCACCATTTCATCCAATTCATTTTTCACTTCCGCCCTCCAAGCAAACGGGATCTTCCTTGGACAAGATATAGCATAGGGAACGAAATTCTCTTTCAAATGAATATGAACATATTTTCCTCTCATTGGTTTCAGAGAAACTTCAGAATTGAATACATCTTGATATCGCCTCATCAAATATTCACAGATATTCTCAATTTCTTGTTGTTTGGAGCAATTTGCGATTCTTCTGATTTCCGAACAAAGTGTCTTAGGAAAATGTCCATGAATAATTCCTAGTGCAACCAATACTTTCCTGTCAAGAAGTAATTCTTTCACACCAGCACAAATGTTAATAATTGCATCAGTTTGGAATTCTTCATACTGTATGTTACACCGGAGACTTCCAAGTACTCTCAGACGAGAAGAATCTGCTGATTCCAACCTGAGTAGAGAAGGTTTCAATTTCATTCGTGGAAAGTTCAACTTTTTGAGGAAGTCTTCGCCTGCTACTGTTGCTTCAGCACCAGTATCGGGTGTGGCAAGATAGCTGACCGTATCATTTATACGTACAGATATTTGTCGCTGATAATTGGTGGTGGCGCTCTCTCCGATTGAAGTTATTTTCAAACACCATATTATTAAGGTTTCCTCTTGTTCTTCTTCAAAAGAATCCACAGCAGAAATTGTTTTTTTTATAGCAACATTCTGTGAGATGTCCTTTCCTATGACATTTTTGGCATATTGTATTCTTGGCTGTACATTCTTTTGAACTTTTATGCCATGTTTCTTCACATCGTGGACATTTTCTTGAATTCCCAGAATATATTTTTGTTCTGTTGATACTGAAGATGTGTCTTTGAGATCGTCTTTCTTCTGATACGACTGCTTCTTCGGACTGAAAAAACTTGAAAATGTCATCGACCGTCGCTGAATCTGGAAGAATTCTGCATTTTCTTCTGAGATCGCTGTCGTGTACCGCTTCTATAATATGATCTGCCAAACACCTATCATACCAATGTCCAAATGGATCTGTTAACTGAAATAACTTTAATTTCTCTCGATAAAAGGATATAAACGATTCTTCAGGCTCTTGTTTGCTTGTCATAAACTGGCTGCGCCTGATACGTCCATTTTCTTTTTGTCTAAAGTAGTCTTCCAGTTTATTCAACATCTGTGTTGCAATTACGTCATTGATACTTTCAAATTTCAGCACCAATCTAACTACATCCGAAATCTCCTGGCTGAAGAAAGATGTCAACAGAGCCGTCAATTGATGTGGTATGGCATTTTCCAATCCTTGGGTAAAAGTGCACTTATCATGCGGAATTCATCTTTAAGAGACATTTCTCTTTCGAGAAGAGAATATACAACTTCTATTTAACCACTAGGAATATGTACCAGAATAAATTTTTTTTGTTCAATTTTTTATTTAAATTTTCAAAACAGTAGCATTATAATATTATTGAAAGTAGTTATTCATTTATTTTCTCGACCTCTCTCTCAAATGCCATTATTTTTCTTCCTGGGTACACCGTTAAGATCTTCGTAAATGTTGTGCATTAGACATTTACTGAAATACCTAGCTCTCCTCTCATGTCCTCTCTCCTCATCTGAGAGGTATTTATAAATGTCGGATATCTCCTTATAATGCGAATGCATTAAATGCATTCCTTTAACTCTTACTAAAAATCGGTATGAATCATTATGATCTCGCACTCCGTTCAGGTAAAAGAAAGAACATATTTTTATTCTTTCCCCATATTTAAATGTGTTCGTAGCCAAACTTTGCATAATATAATTTGGCCAGGATTCACATTCTCCAACAATATCTTGTATGAGCCACAGATAATCATCTATAATTAAATGAAATTAATTATTTTATGTCCAATTATTGGGATGAACTTGAATAACTCACTTGGCTTATAGCTAGGTAAATAAGCTAACTTCAATTTACTCTGGAGATTATTCATATCGCTGAACAATTATTTTCAACTATTCAGGCGGAAAAAAGATTGCAGAAGGAAGAATATTAAAGCAAATTCAAAATGATGGCGGGTGTAACGTCATTCAAAAGCGATTGGTCTAGTTTGGTTTCTCACAGATCCATTTTTATTTGCCAGTTCGTATTTGTAACAGGTTTGTTCGCGTACAAACAGTCCGGAATCATCAGGAGCATGCGCAGTTTCACAGAACTATACGAATTGTACATGTTTCGTGGAACTGCGCATGCCCCTAATGAATTCGAACGCGAACAAGCCAAACGTAAGTCTTAGATTTGATGATTGAATGCGGCCAGCAGCTGGTGTTGGTGTGATCGTTTACTTCACTAAATATGGAAAAATCTCCCAAAAAAACATACTTTTTGTTGATTTTATTGAATAAAATGTGTAATTGAAGTACAACGTAAGTATACAAAGTGTCCAGTGATGAAAAAAGAAGGACAAATAGTTGCAAATACGTATCGAAGATGGGTGGCAAAAGAAGGTGAAATTTCGACCTTTTTCGTGAAATATCTCGATAAATAGTGGTTTGTTCACATTTTCATTATGAAATTCGGGTTTTTCAGACGAAAATACGTAAGCACCAAAAAAACTTTTCGAAAAAAACCCCATCGCATGATAAGTGCACTTTTACCACGATATTCTACAGTACACTATTGAATTACCGACTGCGCCATGATATGTTCAATATCAGAATAATCTTTATTGATGTAATAATGATTAAGTCTATGGACAATTCCAATGTACATCTCTGACATTATCTGTCCAAAATACAGAGTGATACTCCAACAGGGTACAGTGAGTTTTTCATTTCTACCTGCCCTGCCCTTCCAGTCTATATTCGAAATTTCTTTCTATTTTCTTGATAATGACAGATTTGGCTACTTTGAAACGGAAACGGTGTATTGTCAAAGGCTCATTAACAGCCTTCCACAAATATTTGGACAAAACTCTAAGTAGGCAAGATTTAACTGAACTAGAAATTTCCATATTGCATGATAAGCTAGCCAATACCTCTGATTTGTTAGGAGAATTCGATATTGTTCAAAATGAGATTGAAATGACCTACGATTTAGCTGCCTTGATCGAACAAACTCAGAAAAGGGAAGCCTTTGAAGACAATTTTTTTTTACGCGAACGAGGTAATTTTTTAGACTCTCTGGACTATAAATGCAACCAAACTCTTGATAAAAGTAGCAAGTTCAATAAGGAACCTAGAAAGGGTGGCAAAAAGGATTTTTCAAGAGTTTTGGTATCTAAAGAGGTTTCTAATCATTCCTATACATTTTCTTTTTTTCATGAAGTTCATTCAATATACACTTGCGAGAGTTTTCTGAACCTATCTATTCCAGATAGAAATGAATTTGTCAAGAACAATCCTTCTATTTGCACAAACTGTCTCCGAAAAGGACATCCTATACATAAATGCAGAATGGGTTCGTGTAGAAAATGTAGATCTCGTCACAATACGCTGCTACATGGTGAAATCAAACAGGCGCACGGGGATGCAACGAAGCGCGAGTCCAGCGCAAATGTTCTAAACAGTGGCGTACTCCAATGTTCGACAGGGCAAACAAAATTCGCAGAGTATCGTTTCTTGATAGACGTCGATCCATTGCTAAGAATCTCCGTTCTGCCTGAAATATTGATTCTCCTAAAAGTTTAGGTTTTTGTTTCGAAGGCATATCGACAATGAATCGTCCGTCAGAGTTTCTAGTATTGGTATCCGCGAAAATCTGCTCGTCTGGCGAAAGTATTTTATTGTTGGGTGTTTCTTCAACTTCCCAAAAAAAGTGTTTCAAGCAGTTCTTGATTTAGGCTTAGATTGCACGAAGCTATTTTAGGGCTCAGCGCTCCAAAAGTACCGGAAACTATCCATCCAAGCTTCTTTTGTTGCAAATGTGGGCCATATTTTACAAACGCAATTTTATTATTTTTATTTATTTATTAACATATCAATTGGACCAGGCATATGGAAATCTGGGTCGGCTAGAATGAAATGTGATGGAATTTTCAGATGCACAGGCTCTATAGATACGCTAGGTATATTACCAGTTATTTCCGACAAAATATAGCACGTAGAATCAGCTGTGAATTGATCATATTATGATTTGATCAAATTGTGATTTGATCAAAACTTGTTTTTTTTTCTTCACTGACGTAATATTATTAGTGATACCGTATATGGAAAGATCACTAGGATCACTCGTAATTTCCAGTCTCATTTGAAGACGTTCAGTAATGAAAGACGTTTGAGAGCCACAAACTAGGAGGACTCTCATTAAGTGAAATTCGCCGTTGTTATCACACAATAATACACGAGCCGTGGACAGAATTGTTTGCCCTGTCGAACATTGGAGTACGCCACTGTTCAGAACATTTGCACTGGACTCGGGCTTCGTTGCATCCGAGTGCGCCTGTTTGATTTCACCATGTAGCAGTGTATTGTGACGAGATCTACATTTTCTACACGGACCCATTCTGCATTTGGGTATAGGATGTCCTTTTCGGAGACAGTTTGTGCATATAGAAGGATTGTTTTTGACAAATTCATTTCTATCTGGAATGGATAGGTTCAGAAAACTTTACCGGACTTCTTGGTGGCCTTCAGCTGCTGTCCTGATTTCTCCAGATCTTTCAATGATGGAATTCTGGTGTCCAAATCAGTGCCGAATGACATATTCCCAATAGGGGTGTTAGTTAAGGTTTCCTTTAGTTCCTTGTTCAAATTCATTCTCTGCGAAATACCGACTCCAAATGATGTATGTTGGCTAAAAGGCGACACCCATCGCTCAAGCACTGAATATGCTCCTTGTTCTTTTCTGTATCATTTTGTTAGCACTGACCCAATAGCAGTCATACTAGCAGCCATTTGCTGCTGCAGTGCCACCAATCGGCCGCCTCTAAGGATGACCGAATCTGAGATAGCAACCTTTACAAGAGGATTCAATAATGGGCAGTTTTCCGGGGGAAAATATTTTTCCGTCAAAGCCGTCTGAGTGGCTTCCTCTAGACCAGAAGCCAAAATATGGGACCAGCGGTTGGCAATCTCAACCTGAATGGTGTCGCTAAAAGATCTTCTGGTTGAGTTATCACTACCAAGAATCGATAGAATATCATCCTGAAGCATTGTCTGCTCAACAATTTCTTCTCCCCCTCCTGTATTCGGTTGTCCATCGGATTCTGAGAACAAACAAAAAATGATCTTCCTGTTTTTTATGCTTGTTTTTTCCGAACTAGTAGGTTCGTTAATAGGTAGGTAGGTACAGCATCCTCACAAAACAAGGCTATGAAATCAACAAAAAACCAGTTAGTATCTATATAATTGGTCTGTTGTCCCAAAAAGACACAATATATTCTGTTATCCCGAGAAGAAAACATATATTACCTATCTGTTATCCCAAACAGAAATACATATAATCCAATCTTTGGAAGAAGTCCATGGTAACTCAAAGTGGAGTGGTGTAGTTCATAGATGAAAACCCAAAGTCATCTCCACAACATTTATTAGAATGGTCAGAGACCAATCTCAAAGGAACATGTTTCGGGCTTATATAAGCCCATCATCAGCCAATAGAAAATATAGTTATGGAAATGAAAAAGGTGGCATACGAATAGTATAGTTAATATTAGTGCAAACAAGGCAAAATGCTCCATGATTGTCACTGTAAAATAATATAAAATTTTTGTTATGAATTTATTTACATATAAATTTATGTCATTCAAAGGTCGAGTTCATATTTTACAAGCGCCCACGTGCCCTTGAATTACCGAAAGGTGATAATTAAACTTTGAAAAATCAAACTAAAAGTTTGATGAGGTATCAACATTAACTTGTTGAAATTTTCGCGCAAATAATCATATTTTATCATTGAAAACAAATCTTTTTCAATTCATCTACACAACTCCGCATAGAAATCTAGAACTCTTGTATGAAGATTGAATAAATGAACTCTATCTATAGTTATAAAAACCCCTGCTTTGGCACCTTAATATAATTCATCCAATATACATTGTTTAAATGATTTACATCAATTTTTCTGATATCATTTATTATTTTTGAACAATCAGGTTTTATGAAAGATTTGAGAAGACCAGTGTTCTGAAATTCTGCTTATAACTGATTGATATGAGAGCCACCGTGTTTGACTTGGTATTAAAGTAACGTTCGTTTTCTCATTCAGAAACTCTTGACATTCTTTGAATTCTGAAAACCTTTTTGAGCTGTTACTAAAATAATTATATACATCACGACTGGATTGCTCAATACTTTTTGGTAATTTCTCACAAGCACCTGAGGGGCAAAGGTGAAATGATTGGCAAGTGCAACCAGTGGTGACTATATCTGGATTCAAACTTTTGAATGAAGCTTCAATTCCAGTTAAATGTTCATCATTACTGATCAATTATCAGCCCCAAACACAATGATATTTCCGAAACAAATATTATTTTGGGTTCTCACATTTTTTTATCGCACTGAACAAACCTTCAACATTAGCTTCTTCAACTTTAACTAGATTCAAGAATCTATCAAATACATTGCCATTCTAATAATATCTAGCAACTATTGCCAAATATTTGCAGGTACTGATGTCAGTCGTTTCGTCTATAATTAGAGAAATAATTATTATTCAAATCATCTGCAAGGTTTCTTGCAGGCCCTAGTACCTGCACTATTACCTAGATGACTTTCTTTCTAGAATGAAGTTTGCTAGCAATTTTAGAATCAGAACACACGGATGACATGAGGCATGTTGAATGGTCCATCAATCTGAAAGGCAAATTGTGTTATATCAAAAACATAGAATATTCTCAGATATATTTATGAACACTGAAAAATGGATATAGATAAGGAAATACATGGAAAATTCGCATTCTCCATGAGATGAAAATATCAATTCTTCCTCGGTCTATTCAACAGAAAACAACAACTTTCTTGGCTATATGCCACGACGAACATCGAATTATATCTATTGAACACACACGATAAGAATTTGAAAACAAAATCTTCTGAAGTAGAGAATTTGCATTCTCCTTCATATAAAGATATGTTCATGATATCATTATGAATATTCAACAGAAAACAACTACTTTCCTGGCTATTTGCCACGTCGAACATTGAATTATATCTGAAATTGAGAATTGACAGTATTTCTCAAGTAGGATGGAATAACATGATGTTTTATGATATAAAAATATAACTTACCTATATGTTCAGTATTGAAATGAAAATTGAAATGTATAGGAGATGTATACTTGTATAAACTCTGATCTTGATGAGCTCTGAACTTCCAAAAAAATCACTCGTATTGGAATTATATCTTTCACAAACAGGTTATATGACTCAACTAGAATAAACTCATTTCGGATATCAAAATCCTCATCAGTAACCTGAAGTCCAGTTATTCTTCCAGTCATTCTTCATGATATACACAATTTTCATCCCCCTATAATATAACTAAAACTATAGCGAACTGACATCTGAGAATTATTATGATTTGTTGACATACTCCTGTCATTTGGGCATTTGTTTTTGGATGTATGATAAATTGACATTCATCATACAGGCTGTGGAAAGAAATTCTGAATTGTTAAAACCTAATCACGAATTTGCTATTGAGGTCTATAAATAACATCCGATTTGAGAAATAATGTGAATTCTCAATTGCAGAGGATTTTAATTTTTCATGCTCTCTTTTTGGATATTCAACAGATATAATTCAATATTCGACGTGGCAAATAACCAGGAAAGAAGTTGTTTTCTGCTGAATATTCAGAATGATATTATGTTCATATCTTTATATGAAGGAGAATGCAAATTCTCTTTCAGTGGTTTTCAAAGTTTTACTGTTAATATGACTTGGATAGGTGACAGTTTGACATCGACAGTTCAATGTTGACAACATGACATTTTGTACTCAATTGTTGTATGACAAAAGTTTTTTTGACACGAGTACACTGTGACTTAGGGCCGATTTCATGATGGAATTAAATGCTCCTAAGTCCGTATCACATGGTGCAGAAATTGGTACAACAGAAATGTGAATGCAATATTTTCTGCATCTTGCATGTAATACACCAAAACTGAAATCAGATTATTATGATCAAGAAATATAGGACGCGGGTTCTATTCTCGGACACATTTTTCGTATGTGTCCGTTAAGTCTTCTGAGGTTAAGTCAAGTTTTGTTGTTACGACTGTTGGGAGTATTTTGAGGTTGATTCACAAGGATATTATCACGTTGATATTATTGATAGAAAATCATTTACAAGACGTTCAAAACGTAGTTACTCATTACGTTTGGTACACATATCGTAGTCATCGGTCACAGTCAGATATGAATTGGACAGCCGAACAAGTTTCGGCACTGATAGAGGAACATAATAAAAATCCATGTCTTTATGCTGTGGAGAATGTATCACAATAATTATAATTATAATAATAATAATAATACTTTTATTGTTCACCAAATAGATACATATAAGTATTACAATCTAAGTTCATATTTAATTCATTCAGAGAACAAAGGTCCATTCTGGTTCAGAGTATGAGAGACGATACCGGCAGGTCATCTCTCACGTCTGCTCTTCCACCAGCGCCGAGATAATTTTCAAGATGACAAGAGGAATAGGGAAAGTGAAGAAAAGAAAGAAATTACGAAGAGTAAGCGACAAAAGAACATAGAATAGAACAAAAAAAAAGGGAATAAAAAATAAAAAAAGTAGGTTGGAACAAGTATCACAACATGATTACATCATAATGATTGAGCAACTGTAGAGATCGTGTATAGACATAAGAAAGTCATCATGACTGGACAAGAAGTAATATATTTCTATACTTTGTTTTGAAAGTGTTCATAGATAAATTCAGAAGTGAGCTGTCTTGTGCATTCAAGTTGTTCACAAAAATTGAGATATTGTAACTGAAAGATCGTTTAAATATTTCGTTTTTATGTTTAGGTACTGTAAGTAAAAGTAGTCTACGGATATTAAGATTATGGATTTCAGTTCTGTAAGAAAGTTTAGTATGAAGATATGGTGGGGTTTAGAATTTGTATACACTGAAAAACAGACATGCCATGTGAAGACGGCGTCTATTGTACATGTTCAGCCACCCTTGTTCTTTAAATTTGTGTGAAATAGTTTCGCGTTTTCTTATACCATAAATTAATCTTATGCATGAGTTCTGTACTTTCTGAATCCTACTTGAATCGGCGGACTTCAAACAAGGACCATAAGCAGCATCACAATGGTTGAAGTGCGACAATACCAGTGCATCGCAAAGCATTTTTTTCGTTTTTGAGTTTAGAAAATACCTTTGTGAATAAATCAGTTTTAGCGTACTATAAGCATTTTTAAGTTTTTGTGTTATATGTTCCGTAAAATGTAATTTAGTGTCAATTATCAAACCTAAATTTTTACAAAATGATTTTAAGGGGATGATAGAGTTGCCAATTCTCAAATCTAAATGTACAATAGAATAGCGAGAGCAGGAGCTCTCGGATACATCGAAGATGCTCTTCTTGAACTGGTTCCATGCGTGAAGATTGAGGAAATGAAAACAAAATTCAATAGTATGGGAACTACATATTTGGCAAAAAAACGTAAATATGATATGGCCAGGAAAAGTGGTGCTGGTAGAGATTTTGTAAGTTACATCTGTTCTTGGTTTAGTGTCACAGATTAATGATTGTTTGAATTATAGTTGTATGAGCCATCATTATGGTATTATCACCAAATGGCGTTTTTGAATGAACATGTTATCAGAGAATCAGTGTCAAATATAGAATCAGCTAATTCTGAGCAATCTGTGATGGAATCTGAAGATGAAGAGAGTGTATTAGATGATGATGAAACACAGAGGGAGTTTTTTCTAACTTATGGAAATATCGAAATCATTGAGGAATCTGAAAATATGGTAAGCACATTTCTAGTTTCTTTCAGATTGCCAAACTTCTATTAGAACTGCATTTTTTCATGATGAATTATTGACAATTCTCTGACACAGAAACTGATGAGGCCTCCCAAATGATTAGAACACCCATACAGCATGTCAAGCCAAATTCTGTATCTCAAACTCCTACTAGGAAAACAAGAAAAAGGAACACTATGTCAGCAAATGATGATCAGGTCATTCTGAGGGATGCTGGTAATGCCCTCAAAGAGATTTTCAATGTGTTGGTTAATCAAACATACCACCACCCCCTACAATACAGACAACACAAGACACACATGAGTGCTATTGGGTGGAAGGAATATAAACATGATATTATTATTTGCACATTCTTCGATCATCCTTGTTGAAAGGTGGGAGATTAAATCATCCCCAATGATGGCCTTCTTGGATGCTGGTCATGCCCTCAAAGAGATTTTCAATGTGTTGGTTAATCAAACACCACCACCACCACCCCCTACAATACAGACGACACAAGACACACATGAGTGCTATTGGGTGGAAGGAATATAAACATGATATTATTATTTGCACATTCTTCGATCATCCTTGTTGAAAGGTGGGAGATTAAATTATCCCCAATGATGGCCTTCTTGCCTTCACGGCTTCTGAAATATGGTATGACCACTTTGAAAAACCAAATACGATATTATCGAACCAGTCAGTTTTTGACCGATTATAAAAACAATTCTCTGGCCCACCTAGTAGCCATTTTGGATATAAATTTTGAAATCGTTAAGGAATACTCAAACGAAACACGAAGCATAGTATAATTGTCATTTGATTGGAAGCGGACAAATTTTGCTGAAAGCACGTTTCAATGTTCCTCCTTGAGTTCTAATTATAGCGACTCTGGCTACACCATCTTTTCCAGGATGTACTTGTATAATTCGTCCAAGAGACCATTTCAATGGTGGCTGGTTGTCTCCCTCAATAAGAACTAGGTCGTTCGTATCCAAGCTACCATGTTGTTGAGACCACTTGCATCTTGACAGAGAAAGGGCCAGCGTGATCAACGCCTGTGATATCAAAAGATGGTGCGGGAGTGACACGCTTTTCGGATAAATTCCCCTCAACTGGATTCATCATACGAGGTCTTGTCCTAAAACATGTAACGCATTCAAACACTACTTCTCTAGCGATATTTCGACCTGAAAGTGGCCAAAACGTATCACGTATAGAGCTCAATAAATATTGTGGTCCCGCATGAAACAATCTTTTATGCTCTCTCTCTAATAATAGTTTGGTGAACCGATGTTTTGATGATAATAATATGGGGTATTATTCTAAAAAACTGAACTCTGAATTGGCTTACCTATCACCAACCCTGCGAAATATGCTGGTCATCTAGAAATGGGTTCTTTTTCGCTTTCTGGTTCCATCGGTTTATCTTTTGTCAATAGATTCATTTCTGTACTGAAGGTTTCAAATTGAACAATTTTAACTAAAAAAATGTTCGCCTTGTGGATTTCGTTGAGAATCAAAGGTCCTGAATTTCTTTCAGATTTTAGTTTTCAGAAGCGTTCACTCAATCGTATGCAATAAGCTAAAACCCTTTCTGATTGAGTCATATTCGAATATTTTTCAAAAGAGATTGCTTTTTCAGGAGTTACAAGAGTACATGTGATATGACTTTCCGCTTCCTTTTTGATGTCAGGTGAATTATTTTGTGGAACATGCCTAAGTGGCCATGTCTTTTCATCAGGTTCCAACCAGCTTGGCCTGTGCCAATATAGATGAAGGGATTTTAAAGAGCTAGGTGTGACACCGCGTGACACATAATCAGCTGGGTTATCTGCAGAAGAGACGTGTCTTTAGTCACTTGTATCACATAATTCTTGTATGTTTGCTACACGATTAGCGAAGAATACCTGAAAATTGTTGGGAGATGATTTCAAACAATCTAAAACTATCGTGGAGTAACACCAATATGTAACGCTGTCTATTGGAATACTTATCGCTACATTCACACTTTCAACTAATTTTGCCAGTAGCAACGCACCTACCAATTCCAAGCGATGAATGGTTTGCGTTGTAACGTTCATTTTTACCTATCGTACCTTTTTGATGAATTGATTCACTGATTCTGCGAAGATTTAAAACTTCAACGTTTATTGCCTATTACTTGGTAAAATTCTAACATCGGGTCTCTCGATATACCAGGTCAACTTCTGCATAGCTGTATCAAATCATCCTCTTGTTGTACATTAATTACATAGATACCTGCCTAGACCTCGGTACCATGATTTGATTCCTAGTCCTCGAGTCTGTTTATTTCCATATCTGCTGCTATCTTTACTCGTAAATTAGCAGTCACCACCATATGTATTCAGTCTTCTAGAAGAAGAGAACTCAACAATAAGGTATACGTATGGTATAATTAATGAACACTCTGTACTTACTGTTATTCCAAACAGATTCAATTCACATTTCGCTGTCATTATTCAGTAGTAGTATAATCAGCTGTTCGATCGTTGAAATGCTGTGTTCGGAACAGACACTACCCTCGACAGAACAGGACCGTTCCGTTGTGTTCCGTTAACCTCCTGCGCGTTGGACCCAACTAAGGGTGACTTGAATAACCGAAGGAACGGGTTCTACTGGTGTCAGTGGTGGAACTTGGTACATAGATAGTGCACGTCTGGTGCGATTGCGTGGTGTACCTGGTAGTAGAGCTAAGGGAAATTTATCAACTTGGTGACACTGGATGTCAGGTTTTTCTTGTATAAGTGAGTTGTAATAAAACTGGGTGATAGATCCCATGTTCTGGTACCCGTTGCGCTGCATTCGAGTTCCGACTGTTCAGTACCCTGTTCTGATGACTTCATCATGGGTATAGTACCTTCTGGATTATTCAGAGTTGGTAAATATCATTCAAACTAAGAATGGATATATAACCCAGGTAGTGGTTAGGTAATACGGTTCCTGTCATGTTTTGTGTGGGAATAACAATAATCTATGACGTGCAATACTAACACAAGTGGAGTTATAGTATTGAATAATAACGGTATCACCAGTGCATTAGCAACACATCTCAGATGTGTTACTTTTGCACCGCGGGTGTGTCCGTTTTGTCAGAATGTATAACTAACTTATGTACCATTTAAAAAATGTTCGAGGAGAATATTAGTTGTGTTACTTTTACATATGATACCTTAGCTCCTCAACAATCCTTATAGCACAATAACTCAAAATCGGCATTTTTCGACTTGTGTTAGTATTGTTCTGACGGTGCGATTTGTTTGATTCAAAGTTGGAATTCAGAAAATGAGCAGTTACTCCCAATAAGTTTTCTGTGTCACGAGATTTTGTGATTTCAGTTTAAATTTCTCACTTATTGAAGTACATGTCATGACGTGATATAAAATCATATATAATAAAAGAGAAAATCCTAGATCTCGCATCACGCCTAGGCAAGAATGCCTGTCTTGCTTTGTGCTCGGTCTCAGGATTTTCATGGTGAGAGTATATTCTGTTGTGCTGGAATAGTGAGTGAATTTATTAATAAAAAATAACTCTGAGAATTGTAAGTATCGATATCGACACAGTTGTAGAAAAATAAATAATACAGTGAAAAATAAATAATACAGTGGAGAGCATCTCTATTATATTTTTCTCGGTCTGTTTCGAGTTTATTTCGAGTTTAATGTTTCATAAAATTTCGTTTGGAGTTGAAAACGTGTTTTTTTGTTTCAGCTTTGTAATTCAGACTTGAAATTTGTTTCAGGTCAGTTGGAATAGAGTTGTTGAATTTAGGACCGAAGAACAAGAAATATCTTTTATCCAATGTTTTCCTGAATGATTGGATATTGAGATCCTTATTTGTAGTTGACCTCCTGATAAAACTTGTTTTGTTAAACTTTTCACAGTATTAAGAGCGTAAATTGAAAAAAATCCAATTTTTTCTTGTGATTTATTCGGTCATTATGTCTCAATAACACACCATCTCATTTATCACTCCGATTTCGAAAATACCCCATAATTATTGTATTCGAGTTGTAACATTGAAAATTATCAGAATACTCACAGGTACATATAACATGAATCAGTTTTGAACCTCCAATTTACTGGAACGGTAGCTTTTTTTCTATCTCAGAGTAGTGGGTGGAAAAATGAGTGGAAAATTGAAAACTGCATCTAGATCTGCAAGAAAATGAAAAAATAATATGCCACAGTGATATATATTTGTTACCTATATCATCAAATATTGGTTTCATCTTCTCTTCTTGCATCATATTGAGGACAGCCGATCGGAACTGTGGCCACTTTTCATATAAATTCTCACCTCTGTCCGTAAATGATTTGATCAAGTCATCCATTAAGAACTTGTATCCATGCTGAGGATGGTTCAACATGGGAAAGGTATGGAAATACTCTACGATGTTTGAGTTCGTCTTCAGAATTTTTTTCCGCTGATGAAAGCATATTTCTCAATTGAAAAATACTTTTTCAGATGGACCCACATTATGTTCACAATATTCCAAGCGGCCAGCGTAGCCTCGTGGTTGAAGCGTCAATGTTCTTGCTCGCACAAGTCTCTTGAAGACTTTTGAGGGTTGCTCGTAAGGGGGCAACTGAATGATGGATAAGAACAGAGAGAGAGAGAGAACATCTTTATTAGGGATATACCCCAAAAGGCCATTGACCGAAGTCTTTCAGCCCGGATAAGAACAATTTTAGAACGAACAATTTTTTTTTATAATGATTTTTCAGGTTCTGGATCTCCGTTAGTGGTGAGTGCTGCTGAAATTTGAGAAATGTACGAATTGATAAAAGGAAAATAGTTCAACATCCATCCTTCTCAAATGGTCAATAGATTTCAAAAAGATAGTGAAGAAATATGATCAAATTGAAATACAAGTCTAAAACAAACCTGAGACTGTTTGAGTCTTTACCCTCCTCAATATTCCAATGTTTTTTTGTTATCATATATATATCGCGACCATAACATTCTACTGCACTTTGCGACCCTTTTTTGGTAGGGTCGCAAATATATATGTTTCGATTCCATTTTGAAGATGTTGCATATTTCTTGTGCAAGATTATTGAACACCATTTGTGGAATTCTGAAACGAATAGGTAATATAAATATGAGTATTTTAGTTCGTATCTAAATTAATTTGATATAATGATCGGAAAATATCTCTTCTACATACTTTTCATTATATTATTGAAATAAGTGATCTCTATAATTAATCTTATCAACTTTTTTCGTTGCTTTGGAGTTAAAACTTCATTCTTGCTCAGTACGAGCATATTCCCCCCTGTATTTGACTGAAGGTAACTGTCTAAGCCCTTCAATAGAATATTTGATAAATTGACTGACAAAAATTACCTAAAAATGTATTGCAACCCAGATAGCACAAGTACGTCCTGAAGCCGTTCTCTTCGGACATTTCAGACGTCCCGGGGACGTCCATTTTAAGTACGTCTTTAGGACGTTTTGGGGACGTACGATGTTACAAAATCGGAAGTCCCTAGGACATACGAATTAGGTCCATTTCGGGTCTAATCTGGATCATTTGGGGACATTTCGAGGACGTTTGAGGGACGTACAATATAGGTCGGTTTCAGGTCTGAAGCCATTATGGGTCAAAAATAAAATTTACTGATTCAGATGATACATTATATAATATATTGATAGAATTTTACATGGCAATGAATATTAATTGAAGAATTTTCTTCTTTGGTTTTCTTAGACTTGCACCTATCGATTTCAATTCTTATTTGGTGTGGCACTCATCCTCTCAGCAGATCTCTTCAGTCAGCTCTATGTGGAGGCTTCGGTGGATTTATGATCCTTCGATATGCCAGGTTTTTGCGCAGCTCCTTGAAAAAAAAAATATGAAAAATAGTAGTACTTTTCATCGAATTTCAGTGTTTTCAACCAAACGATATATCGCGAAATGTACGAGTTTTTTACACAGGAAAATGCTATAAAATGCTCAAAGAGCATGAATAACATGAACTTACCTATATTACAATTTTCGATACCTATGTTGACAAATAAGAAAGTGCTAATATTCCACAGCGTTTTCTTCTTCAAATTTCACATTATGCATACAATAACATCATAATAACATTAATAACACAAATTAGCATCCACAGAAACAAAATGGGTGAGGCTACACCACCACTGTTGCCAGATGAAAATTTGCCAGAGAAGTAGATGGATGGGGAAAATACAGTAGATCATCAAAACTAAATAGTAGATATTGATCATCATTACAATTTGCTATTATGGATGAAAAATAAGAAACATGAACACTCATATAAAAACAAAAAAGAAATGTTTGACAAAAATCAAATTAGAAATAAAAGTTTTTCTCTAATCAATCTGAATCTGATAACTTCAGTATTTCATTAATTCTTTGTTACATGTGATATCAAAACATGACGATTCTGCCCTGTAGATAAATAATTATGTTTTCGTATAGAGAAAACCAACTGCTGGATGAATTAACTTATTATGCTGCATTGACTTCAGCAAATTTACTTTACAAAATATCCTCTTTACGTTTGCTGAAGAATGAGGCAACATATATAATAATAAATAATGAAGAACAAAATTTGTCAAGTTGGGAACAATTGGTGGATTGTCTATTTCTACAACCGCTTGTGTGAAATTCTGTAATTTTTCAATTCTACTTTTGGATCGATGAACAATACAGTAGGTTTCATGCCTAAAACAAAAGAATAGTAGAACAGTAGATCTACTGTTGAAACAGTAGGTCTGGCAACGCTGTACACTAGTACACCTGCTACACGAGTGGTGGCCATGAGATCGTACGAATTCTAACAGCCATGACTTTCGGTATGGAAGCATTTTCAGACCAATCAGAACGATTCTAGCAATGGCGGTTAATTCGAATCGAATTCAAATCTTCTGAAAGAAGAAAATAGGAGTTGGTGACCGGAAATGACCTGCGTTATCTCTTATGCTCTGACGCAACAACTACTTATACAAAGTGTCCGTAAAAATGAGGTCAGTGCGTTAAACAAAAAATTATTTAAGCAGAATTAAATGACCTTTTTTTCATGCGATTTTTTATTTTCCATCCCGCACATAGATCATATTTCGTGTATTGATTAATGAAATCGGATTCATCGAAATGATTATGAATGTTTTGTTCAGACCTAAAAATGGACATTTTGGGGACGTCCATTTATGTACGTTTTGGGAACGTCCCATGATGGACGTCCTCAAAAGGTCCCAGACGTTCAGACCTGAAATGGACTTCAACGGGACGTCCCGGGGACGTCCTCTGCTATCTGGGAAGATGAATTATATGATATGCTTACATCTGGAAATGCTGATGTATCCAAGTAAAGAAATCCGTCTTCATCAATGTCGATGTTCATGAGAGTATTATCAAGATTGTTGTCATTCCTTCGACTGAATTCTGCATCTCCTAAACGCGCTTAAAATCAAATATGAAATGATAAGTTGTTCTAAATAACTATAGGATGCTACCTAACCATATATCATGAGATATTATAGTATCCAGCCCATCATTAGTCAACTATAAGTATATCATTATATTATCCCTTATGTTTTGGTATAGTAGTAAAAGTGTATAGGTACAGAGTATCGTAAACAAGAGGTCAATTATTCATCAACCTCAACCATATCTTTATTCTTTGGACAAAGACAATATAACTTTTAAAATGGCATTCTTCATTTTAGCTCTGTATGTTCGATAAACATGGCGTTGAATTGGAAAATTGAAACTTTTTCCGAATAACTCGAGAATGATTCAATACTTAAGACAATTTATGAACACAAAAAATGGATATATATATAAAGAAAAACATTGAGAATTCGCATTCTCCATGTGATGAAAATATCAATTCTTTCACGGTTTATTCAACAGAAAACAACTACTTTCCTGGCTATATGCCACGACGAATTTTGAAATACATCTATTGAACACACGATGAGAATTTGAAAACAAAATCTTCTGCAGTAGAGAATTTGCATTCTCCTCCATATGAAAATATCCATATAATATAATTCTGAATATTCGACAGAAAGCAACTACTTTCCTGGGTGATTTGAATAACCGAAGGAACGGGTTCTACTGGTGGCAGTGGTGGAACTTGGTACATAGATAGTACACGTTTGATGCAATTAAGTGTTGTACCTGTAGAGCTAAGGGAAATTTATCAACTTGGTGACACTGAATGTCAGTTTTTTTTTTGTACAAGTGAGTTGTAATAAAACTGGGTGATAAAATCCATGTTCTGGTACCCGTTGCGCTGCATTCGAGTTCCGACTGTTCAGTACCCTGTTCTGATGACGTCATCATGGGTATAGTACCTTCTGGATTATTCAGAGTTGGTAAATATCATTCAAACTAAGAATGGATATATAACCCAGGTAGTGGTTAGGTAATACGGTTCCTGTCATGTTTTGTGTGTTGTGAGATTTCTGTCCTTGTTCGGATATGTCATGTACTTCCATGGTTTTGTGGATCCGAGATGATCAATGAAAGCTGTCACTTTTATGTCCTGGGCAATGAGCGAGTGAAATGGCTGTAAGCCAATAATATTGAATTTTTCATTCATCCTCGAAATGAGGGATTAGATTTCACTCTCAATTTTCAGTTTCCATGTAGGAAATTTTGAGGTATCGTTTGTGGTATATATTTTCGAAAACTGTCCATTATTATGGGATTTTGAAGCCTTGGCGAAAAAGTGAGGTTGGAAGCACATGAACCGAAAACCTTTTTCTAAAGGAATAAGAGCGGTACATAGTTGAATCGTTGATCGAATCGATAGATTTGGAGATTGATGCCTGATGGGCCCACTCAGGTGGAATGACGTTGTAGACATATTGTTGAGTCTTGGGCGATATTGTGTCCTTAGAAAAGGTATGAACCTCCAGAACTTTGGAGTCAGTGAGTAAGAAATTTCTCTCATGTTTCAGGGTTTTTTTATGTGCTGCAGTTTGTCTTCTGACATTTTTGTGGTGGCCTGCTCTATGGTCTGCAAATTTTAAGTATAGCAGCTTGTGCATTTCCTGCTTATGCTATAACGTGCTGGTATCTGGAGCTGTATCTGATAGTCTGTATCTGGAGCTGTTTCTGGTGGTGTATTTGAAGCTGTAGCTGTACCTGAAGCAAAAGCTGCAGCCAAAAATCAAGCATGTGATTGGGCCATGGCTGTTACGCAAGTTTTTCATAACATTATGCTAACTTTCCATAGTATTTTTTTTTGTCTACTTCAGTAATCAATGAAGTAAGATTGTTACAGCGTCTTCAAGGACGTGACCTCTGATTTCGCGTAGATTAATCTAATACAAACATCTCCAGTTTTATTTTGAGATTTCATATATACACATAAGCCATACGCT